CCTTGACTTGTATTCTCACAGACATAGTCTCGCGAGTTTTGGGTGCGGTGACACAGCTCTCACGAGACTTTAGGCTCAGTAGTGGAGTAATGTCGGTGCGCAGAAAACATGGATGGAAAACTAGCGAACAAGCAAACGAAAACTTATTATTTTCACACAGAGTGGGAGGAGGAGTATTTTTTTGTTTATTCTAATTCGAAGTCTATTTGCCTCATCTGTAATTCGAGCGTTGCCTTACCCAAAAAGTGTAACTTGGAGCGGCATTTCTAGACGATGCACAAACGGTTTGAGACAGATTTCCCTCTTAAAAGTTCTTTACGGACTCAGAAAGTGCGGGAGCTAAAAAACAAGCTTGCAGCCCAGCAATCAGTCTTCACTCGCCCCAGCACAAAAGGTAAAGCTGCTACGATAGCTTCCTACCGTGTTAGCCGCATCCTGGCTCAACATAAGAAGTCTTTCAGCGATGGACAAGTTATGAAAGAAGCGTTTATTGAGGCTGCAGATGCGCTTTTTCATGATTTTAAAAATAAAAGTGAGATCGTAGCTGCTATTAAAGACGTGCAGTTGTCCAGACAAACAGTGACACGGCGATGTGAGGGAATGGCTGTGGATGTGGAGGAGCAGCTAAAAAAGGACGTGGAACAATGTGAGTGTTTCTCTCTTCAGTTTGATGAGTCGACAGACATGGTGGATGTAGCCCAGCTGTGTGTTTTTATCAGAATGGCCTTTGCAGACATGAGTGCAAAAGAGGAGCTGCTCACCATCTTGCCTTTGAAGGGACATACAAGAGGAGAAGATATTTTTAATGCGTTTATGGAGTTTGTTAATAAAAGCAACTTGCCCCTCTTTAAACTAATTTCTATAACAACTGATGGCGCTCCAGCAATGACTGGTCACACCAGTGGATTTGTTGCACTCTGCAAGCAGAATGATGCTTTCCCAGACATTTTGCACTATCACTGCATCATCCACCAACAGGCCCTGTGTGGGAAGATTTTAAACATGAAGGAAGTGATGGATGTTGCCATGAAAACTGTGTGCTCTATAAGGGCCAGGAGTCTGCAGAGGAGGTTGTTCTGGGCTCACTTGGAGGAGGCAGGAGCAGACCACACAGACCTGCTGCTGCACATGGACGTCAGGTGGCTAAGCAGAGGTAAATTTCTGGACAGATTCAGTGAGCTGTTGCCTGAGATCAGGGATTTTCTGAAGCTGTCAGATCATGGTGAACATTCAAAACTAGAGGACACCCAGTGGCTTTTGGATTTAGCCTTCCTCACAGATCTCACCAGCCTGCTCAATGAACTGAATTTGGAGCTTCAGAGAAAGGACAAAAACATAATCCACATGATCAGTTCTGTGAGCACCTTCAAAAGCAGGCTGCAACTGCTCACAAGTGGGCTGCAACGCAGGGACCTGCGAAACTTCCCACACATGGAGGCAGAGCTACAGCGCCAAGGGAAAGAGGTCCCACAACTGGACAGTGCACACTATTCTAAGCAGGTTCAGAGCATCTCAGCAGAATTTGAGAGACGATTTACTGACTTTTCCTCCATCGAGCCTGTTACCAGCTACATGTGTTATCCTTTTGGAAATGTTGATGTGGATGACATTGTGTCCAAATTGGTGTCCGTGTTTCAGCTGGACAGCTCTGGTGTTGAAAATGAGGTGTTGACTCTGCAAAATGACATTGGGATCAAATCCAGAGCATCACCTGGTGTGGATGGAGAGTTCTGGAGTCTGCTGTCAGAAGAAAAGTATCCTAACATCCGAAGATGTGCTTTGAACTTAACAGCACTTTTTGGATCTACCTACCTGTGTGAGTCTGCTTTTTCACACATGAAAATCATCAAGTCCAAAAACAGATCCACAATGAATGATGATCATCTGGAGACCTGCCTGCGCCTCGCAACCACCTCATACTGCCCAGCTTATGAGACCCTGGCCTCCTCCTCTCAGTGTCAGAAGTCCCACTAAGGTAGAGACACACTTATTTTACACAGCTTGCATAAAAAGTTGTCTCCTATAGACACATCACGTTCTGTTTTATTTACTTTAAAGAAGTGAGGAGTAGGGATTGATGAAAAATTATGTTTGTTGATAATGAGACTGGACGAGTAGCTCTCGGCAAATTGCCGACTTCAAAAGTAGCTCTTGGTTCAAAAAAGGTTGGGCACCCCTGCTCTAAACTGTCCCTAGGTGTATGTAACAGTGGGAAGCTTAAAGAGGAGATATATGGATGCAGTTAGAGATGACATGGAGGTAGATAGAGTGAGGACAGAGGACGCAGAGGACAGAGAGAGATGGAGGAGGATGACTCGCTGTGATGACACTTGAAGAGGCTGAAAAAACATGAAGAAAACCCTGACAGGAACTGCTAAGATATAGGTGCTATGGCTAAAACTGTCACATTTAAATGATGAGCTTTTATGTATTCACGTCTAATTAATGTGCATTGTCTCTCATTTAAACCATAAAAAGACCTAAAACAATGAAAACTTAAAAAGATTAGATAAATTAATAGGTAATAATTAATAATTACTTTAAAATTGAAACAAACACATACAACCTGATACATTTCACTGGAAATGCTGGCCTCCTTAGATAAAGAATTTTACTAATTGGCTTTTATTTATGTGAATGTTCCTGTAAAGTGCCCTGAGACAACTTTGTTGTGATTTGGCGCTATATAAATAAACTGAATTGAATTGAATTGAATTGAATTGAAAGCATACTTTTCATCCAGTAAAGAAAGGACAGTATTGGTATCATGTAGTCAGCCTTCTACTACTCACCATTAGCTTTTCTGATTCTCATACAAAACATTAAAAACTATCTTTGTTGTCCAATATAGCTCGCCCAATGCCAGCTGCCACAAGAGAGGCAGCCTTGAACTCACATGCTAAAGGTCATAAAGTTATGGCTGATTGATGAACAGACACTTAGACTGATTCCTTTAGAAACACCGGTGGAACCAGCAGATCTTAAAGCTCTGGTTTAACTGTTGTAGCTGAAAACTGCTGGAAATGAACTCTTCTTCGAGCTGACAGGAGCCTGCAGCAATGTGAACTCAACCCTCCAGGATAAAACACGTCACTTACTGGATGCTGCTTTTATCTCTGTGCATGTGTGTGGCCAAGAGGTCTATGGGGGCTAAGCAGGATTTAAGAACACACTTCGAGATCAGAGACAAACATTAAGCCAAGAGCAGCTGACAGGCTCATCCAACACGTTATTAGGACTGACCCAAGTGTTTTGACTCGCACTTAAGGCTCCAGTATACTCACACATCCTGTCAGCTGCGCGGAAACTGTGCGCACTGTCCGCAGAGGGTTGAGACTTCATACTCAAGTGTCCACCCTGAGCGGCTGCAAACCAGCTCCACAGACAAGGGGTGTTTACCTTTGGGACAAATTGAGGTCGCCGATAGGTCATTTGCTGACACGCCTACTGGATTGATTGACAGGTCACACACACACAAAAAAAAACCAAGAGCTGGCAGCCCCAGCTGCAGCGGTGTTCTATCTTTATATATCGTTAATAAAAAGTTCTAAAAAAAAAAAGAAAAAAAAAAAACAGGGAGCGCTGGCTCTGCAGCCCACACATCAGACCAGCCCACCAGGAAATCTCCAGACCCTCCTGCAGCCACGCTGGACCTGATTTTAATTGGCTCGTGACAAATTCCTTCCTCACCATTTCAGTCATGGTGTCCACGGAGGAGGAGGAAGTGATCACTTGCCTTTGGGCAAAAAAACAAAAGAAAAGGCCAGATCAGGGATGAAGAAGAGGAATTTAATACATTTATGTCACATACAAAACAGTCCGTCGCTGGGCAGTTTATCGTGCGACACAGAGTACG